CATGGGCAGGGCCTGGGAGGTGGGCCACATGTCTGAGCTGGTGTGATGATGACAAGACACTAAATCGGACGAGGGGGGGTTGAGAGCTGGCAAAGGGGCAGTTGGGTAATGGATCATTTTCACAACCTTTGTTTGCAAAGCAAGGAAGGGGGAGGGGCTGGCACCTTTTTTCTTAATTACCAGGAGGGGGTATTTCTAAACTGAAGTGCACCCTCGACTGTTTTATTTTATTTCTTTATTCATGCTGAATCTTCAAATGGATATTTAGTTCATATTGTTTTTATATAGTGAGATTTGGGATTAAAAGTGTTTTGACCAGTTAAAGATTAAACGCAATACAATTTTTTTTAATGATTTAATTTAATCTTTGCCTTAAAAATTGCATTGAAAAAACAAGCGCCCACCATCCATTCTTCATGTACTAATTAGTATTGTCCTCAGTATTTAATTTTCTTTTTAATTTAATTTTCATTTTAGTTGTTGCTTAAGAATGTATGTTACCTCCAAGCCTCCACCTGCTTTCTTTGTTATCATTAGTGTTGTCCTTGGTGTTTGTTAAAAAATGAATGCTATTGTCTTTGTTAGAGATCGGCCTGAAGGGTGCATACAGGATTTAAGTGTTGACTGCCCTCCAGTGGTGGTCAGGCAGCCAGCAATAATTTTTAATTTGATTAGATATTTTATCTCTTTATAATGTGACTCATTTCATCACTGAATCACTTTATGCATTAAGCAGGAAGAAGTGGAGAGATCAGGAGACATTAGTCAGTTTAGCTCATACACTTTATTGAAGTAAATTAGAGGTCAGAGCAGAACATGGTCATTTATCTCAATAATGCAGTTAGATCTTCTTGCTTGTACGTACAAAAACAACTGGACCACTAGCGGCGGTGGCTGTGGAGGTCTGTAAAGCAAAGCAAGGGGACTTTAGCTACATTACAAGCATTGAAACTCATCTCACAAAGTCAAATATCATGACCTCTAACCTCCACCAGCTTTCCACCGCTGATCTCAGATGTGTGGTGGTACTTGGGGAAACTTATGGCCAGCTTGCCCCCTTCCATGGAGACTGTGCCCTAGTGAGGACACGCAAGTATGAGTTTTCATCACATTGAAGCAGTTTATGAACATACTATCTCACTGAAGTCGAAGTTATACAGTAACTTCAGTCTGATCTCTCATGAGGGTTATTATGCCATACCTTAAATTTCTTCCCTCCGACAGTCTCCATGTCACTCTCTTTGCCAACGATGAATTTGTTGGTCACAACATGGTTATTTGGGTAGTACTGGATCCATGTGAAATCATCTCCATTCTGGATGACCTCTGTCACAAGCTTGAAGTCACGGCCCTTTGAGATGACATCATCAGGGATACCTGAGGTATACAGGACCAAATGAGCATATTAGAAAGATTATGTGAAGGATCATGTGACACGGAAGACTGGAGTAATGGTTGCTGACAATTCGGTTTTGCCATCACAGGAATAAATTACATTTTTAAATATATTAGAAGTGCTTTTAAAATGTAATATTTCACAATATTACTGTTTTTACTTTGCTTTTGATCAAATGAATGCAGCCTTGGTGTGCATAAAAAGAACCGTTTCAGAAACCTTAAAAACATCTTTATTATTCCATAATTTTACCAGCGGAGAATGATCAAATTTAAAAATAAAGATTCCAAATGGGGATTTTTTTGCAGCAATGCCATAGAAAAACCATATTTTAAATATTCCATAATTAAAAGAAGCGCTTTTTTCATAGTGTGAGGAACATTTTAATAATCTGAACACCTTTTCCATTATAAAGAGCCTTTTGTGCAATGGAAAAGTTCCATGAATATTAAAGGTTCTTAATGGAACCACAGATTTTTATTTATTTTTTGGTAACTTTGAGAGTGGAGGTTCTTAAGACATGCTTGCAAATTAGATGCAAACACAGCAGAACATATAGGACATTTCTTGTCCAAAGCCATTTATAGTACAAGGACAGTCTAAACTAGAGCAACCTGGGATTAAGTGGATGGAAGTGCAGTCAGAAATTCTCAAGTTAAAGCAATTCATAAATCATCTATTCAGGTCGGAATTACAAACTCTTCCACTGGCTTTCAACCATCATCAGGGCAAAAATCAGTTGTATGAAAAGAAGCGGCTTACCAATCAGTTTGCAGAACTCTGCATATCCATCCTGAGATTCGGTTTCCCATTTTCCATTGAAAGCCATGGTTTGGGCGTTGATTGTTGAGCAGAGAGGAAGAGCAAGCTGAGAGTTGAAGTACTGATGGGTGAAGTTTCCTGCACTTATATACCCTACCTCTCTTCAACTCTGCCTCTTTTTCATGACATTATGGGCACACCATAACCAAGCCATAAACTTTTACTATGGCCTCACAAAAGCACAAGTCATCAAGTGCATGACCGCACGGCTGGTTACCTGGGTAGCAATGATGTAACATACATGGGCAAAGAAGGATAATCATTCATGCTTAAAATATTTTCCAATACAGTGTGTACAATGACACAACATTGGATATAATGGAAATAGCACTTACCATCTATATGGTCAATATTCATGATATCGCCCATTTGTTGTAGGGGAAGTCGTGGCCTAATGGTTAGAGAGTTGGACTCGTAACCCAAAGGTTGTGGGTTCGAGTCTTGTACCGGCAGGGATTGTAGGTGGGGGGAGTGAATGTACAGCGCTCTCTTCCACCTTCAATACCACGACTGAGGTGCCCTTGAGCAAGGCACCGAACCCCCAACTGCTCCCCAGCATAAATGGCTGCCCACTGCTCTGGCTGTGTGTTCACGGTGTGTGTGTGTTCACTGCTGTGTGTGTGCACTTTGGATGGGTTAAATGCAGAGCACTAATTCCAAGTACGGGTCACCATACTTGGCCACATGTCACGTCACGTCACTAAATCTACACACAGGTGCTGAGGTGACATTATAACTTTAAAAGATAATTCACCTCTACAGTATATACATGACAAACTAAGCTAAAATTTCCACATTAAGGGAATGACAAAGTCTTTCAGGAGCATCTGAGTGACCAGAAACCAATGATACTTTCAAATACATGCAATCACACCCCAAAGAGCCACCTGCTGCATACACAACACTGAAAACAGATACTCTTCTGTCACAATGGTTTAGCTCAAAAACAACATCAGCAGATGTGCACGATTTACCTTGCAGCCCTTTCCACACCAAGCAATGTCATCATTTTGAAATTATTATTGTTGTTATTTTATTATATATTTTTTTATGTGAGATATTTTGTTTTCATAAACTATTATCTGATATAAAAGTAACTTACATACTTGGCCACACGTCACGTTGTGCGGTACCATAGTATGTTTTATAATGAAACAGCTACAAAACGGTTTTTAGATTGCCGCTGTCGAGTCTGAAGCTTAGTACTGAAGTCCATCTGCCTTGACCTTTCTTTTAAAAGGATGGAAAGCTCTTTATGTCAGACTGTACTATATGTTCCAGTAGATAGTGATTCATACCCGCACAAACCTGTCATCCATCTAGAAAACTCAACTGAGAGAAAAGAATATGCTACTCTTTTAACTATATTCAACCCTCTTTTCCACCCAAAAAAGAAGATTCTGCAATAATTTACTCCACCTCACATCGAATTGCTGTCTTCTGTGGAACATCAAAGATATTTTGAATGGAAGTCAAAGGGCTCCAGTGTTGTTTGGTTCCCAATGCTCTTTAAAATCTCGTCTTTTGTGTTTCTGCAGAAGAAAGGAAGCCATACATGTTTGGAACCACATGATGGTGAGTAAATGAAAGAATATTAATTTTTGGGTTGAGTATTCTTAAAATTAGTTGATTACAACAGGCCAATGCCCTTCAGCACATACACCTCTGCTAGTTTCTCATAGAATACAGCTTTCATTGCATCATCTCCCTTCCCCTTGGCCTTACATTTTCATTTTTTTCCTCAAGTCTTATGTTGAGATTTACAGATAAATTTCAGCTTCAAAGATCTCTACCACACACAAACCTAGCAGAATGATAAGGTTAAGAGAGATAAAAGCAGGATCAGAACAGGAGGAGCTCTCTTTCACTTCCAGAGCTAGCTGCAAGCTCTCACCTCTGAAAGCACACATTGATTCTTGGGGAACTGTGGGAACAGGCACTTTTGAAGCATCAAAAGGTCATTTGATGATGAGATATTATTATCGGTGAAGTTGAGGACAATCATGATAGTTCTGCACAGATGATTTTGTTCTTCATTTTTTGTCGTGGAAATGTAGCTACAGCTGCATAATACAATGCAAAAAATTATTTTGCATTAACTGCAATTTCAAATAAAAATATTGTATTGCACTCTATTGAATGGATTAGGAAAGCTGCTATAATAGCAAACAGACTGATAAACCCATGCTTATAAATGACACAAGCAGGTACTTGTCATAGTTCTCTGAAGAGCATATTATTATGGTATGATTGCAAAGCACTCGTTAAACTGTGTCCTTCACAATATAGTCACCAAAAGAAGAGTTTAATGAATGAAAACCATATAGTGAAACATAAACTTTTATAATACCACCATTCCTCTTCAAACGTCTCTCGGTTTGACAATAAATGTGTCATGTTGAAACATTATGGTGACAAATTACTTTTGCAAAGAAATCTGATTGCCTGCAGTTTCTTCATGAAACCACAACATTTGCCAATTAGTTGAATTGTTCTTCAGCCTTGAAAGCTAACGCCATTCTGAAAATATGCAAGATGTACTTTCATTTTCAGAGAAATTCAAATCAAGTGTGGACAAATATGAATAAAGTCCTCTTTAGAGGAGTTCATTCACTGTAGTGACTCTTACAGCTGAGCTTTCTCTTCACATAATAGTAGAGAAAGTATCATCAGACAAAAGGAAAGGTGAAAGGTCAGTGAACTGATGATCAGTAGGTCATTGACTATACAATGACATGTAGCTGCTGATTAAGATGAGCTTACAGGTGCATCTCAATAAATTAGAATGTCGTCAAAGAAACCTGGGCTTCCATACCACCTCAGCAGTGCCACAAACTGATCACCTCCATGCCACGCCGAATTGAGGCAGTAATTAAAGCAAAAGGAGCCCCTACCAAGTATTGAGTACATATGCAGTAAATGAACATACTTTCCAGAAGGCCAACATTTCACTAAAAATGTTTTTTTTATTGGTCTTATGGAGTATTCTAATTTGTTGAGATAGTGGATTGGTGGGTTTTTGTTAAATGTGAGCCAAAATCATCACAATTAAAAGAACCAAAGACTTAAACTACTTCAGTCTGTGTGCATTGAATTTATTTAATACACGAGTTTCACAATTTGAGTTGAATTACTGAAATAAATGAACTTTTCCACGACATTCTAATTTATTGAGATGCACCTGTATCAAATATGCAAAAGACTTCTGAAAGCATTGGCGCACATTAAAATTGTATGAATCAATACCGGCCTTTAGCTCATTAAATCGATTTTGAAATTATCCCTGAACCAAATGGTTCATGGAGTTTATTACGCTATGAACCATTTAGAATAAAACACATTTATAAAAATGTGAATAAAACCCACATTTTCAGAGTGTTTCACTCAGATGACATTGTTATTATGAGTAATGAGGGAATACCATTATAGTATTTGTTAATATTTTGAAATAGTTTTTATTTTTGTATTTTCGGGTTTGATTTTAATTTTAGTTTGAGTTTTAATACTTTTGCTTTGGTCATTTTTATTAGTTTTTTTATTATTATGTGCAGGTGTTTAGTAGGTACTTCAACTTAAAATTATTTATTTCAGTTACTTGCAAAGTCAACATTTCTCATTTTCGTTTATGTTTTTAAATGTTTCGTCTAATCTATATTTAATTTAATTGAATTTCGACTTTAGTTTTAGATAAATGAAAGCGCTGGTAAAATGGACCACACCAACAGACCCTGACGTAAATATACAACTCAACATCGCCCCTGGTGGCGCCAAAGTTGTATCTTCATAATAAAGTATATTGACATAATAGAAGCCAATCACAATAGCGTTTCAAGGGATTTCCATTGAACGGCAAGAACATGAGCCAATCAATAAAGACCGCACGTTGAAGCAGCCAATGTGAAGTGTCAGTAGTTGTAAGTAGGCGGGCTCTTTTCTTATCAGGAGGAGAGGGCCAAGTAGTAGTTGCAAAGCGGAAAGAAAATGGCGGCCGTGGCTGCGGAGCCAGGAGCTGCTGCGGCATCAACAACAGCGGGGGACGGGGTGGACTACGAACCCGAGCCAGGAGAGCATGTGGTCGACCTAGAGGCCCACTCCGTCCCAGAAATGGAGCTTTGTCACCAACCCGAGGATGTGGATGCAGTTCAGGAATGTAGCCAGGTCCAAATGGAAATCAGAAGGCCGGACCTTCAAGCCGCGGGAAAAGCCCTCGCTGCCCATGCGGTCTGTGAGCGCACCGAGACGGGGGGTTCCTGGGGCCGCTTGGGCACAGTCGAGCAGCCCGTGCTTATGGACTACAGGTGTACAGACGTTTCTGATTACGAGGAATCGTTCTCGCCGAAGGTGGAGGCTGCAGGCGAGGTCAGTGCTCTCGAATCCAGCCCCTGCCTTCTGCTCCCCAGCTCCATCTCAGACTCCCAGCCCTCTGTGGTCTTCTTGCATTCCCTTCCCGCTCAGGTTCCGTCGGAGCCCAAAACTGGACTGTCTCTGGCTGTCGAATATGACTCCAATCCCCTGTTAAGCCATCCTACCGATCTGGAGTGTGAACTCATAGGCTTCACGCAGCCGGACCCCGAACCCGCAAACGATGCTCCCGAGTCGGAACTCAAAACTCACGAGGATGCTTTCCATGACATCCCGCACCCCTCAGACCACCTGGACTCTCTGTGCGCTGCAGAGGAGACCTCGCTGGGAGAATCGGTGGATCAGAGCTGCATTAGTGACTTGTCTACTGTTTCCAGTAAGGACTCTGCCGAACTTCCAGCGGTGGTGGATCAGTCGCTCATCTCATCAGCTGAGTCGGAGGAAGTGCGCTCGCATCCTCTTCATCAACAGAGTTTCAAAACGGACCTCAGCGAACCCGAAAGGGAGTCGGAGATGAAAGCCCCGGTTATGTGTGCGACAGAGCCCGACACGGTTGAGCGCCTAGTGCTCGGGTCCGAGGTTCGAGTCACGCTGGATCACATCATCGACGATGCGCTCGTGGTGTCGTTTCGCTTAGGCGAGAAGATCTTCTCCGGGGTACTCATGGACCTTTCGAAAAGG